CAGAAGCTCTGGTCTTCCCCAGCAAAGCACAGAATTGGGATAACAGTCCACAGCAGAGTAACCCAGACACTGAGTTTAGCTCAGCTTTGGGAAGACTCAGTCACAGGGCCTTGACACAGCACCCTGGTTCACAGCCTCAGGGGGATCAAAACCCCAGATAAATCCATCTTGCGCTGTATAAAAATTTTACATGGAGAAAGCTCATAATGTTCACTTCCTTTATCAGTGAAAGAGAAAGGTGCACAGTTGTTCTCTGAAGCTGCCCCTCCCATCTCCCCCATAACAATTATTTACATCGGTTTATTAACATACCCAAAGTGATTTTATTAAGTATAAAAAGTAGGATTTAAGTGGTTGCAAGTGATGACAGATCAAAGTAAATTACTAAGCTAAAATAAAACAAAACATGTCAGCTAAGCCTAATAGACTAATAAACTGTTACAAAGCATAATTTCTCACCCTACTTCTTACTTCAGGTAATGTTCTTCTCAGGCTAGGGCTGATCTCCTTTCTGACCTGGGTCTAACAGCTTCTCCCACCCTTTCCCCATTAGACTTCTTTTCTTTCTATGTCTTTTCATGTGCCCTCTTGTGATGGGGAACAGTCTGTGAAGCCAACTGAAGACTTATCATTGTTTGTTTCCCATTCCTTAAATAGAATTTCCCTAGTGTGGGAAGTCTTTGTTTCATTTTCCCCAACCCTGTGGAAAAATACAAAATTCAAGATAGATTCCAGCACCACATGGCATGGACATATGTCTTTGTAGGACAAACTATAGTTTAGGCTTACAGGAAAAAATACTATTTACAAATCATAGTCTTGAGCACTGGGTCATTAAGTTCCTTAAGTATCCCAAATGGCTTTCCCTAGAAGACCTAGATTATTAAACAGCTTTACACTTCATATTTCTAACTTTACATACAAGAATGATACATGCATACAAATAGAATATACACATTCTGGGAATTACAAGCTCTTGAATAATGTGTTACATACCCTATTGTGCATAAAGCATATTCGAGTTCTGCGTAATCATATTCAAAAATACATTTCCATAAATTATGGAGGTGGCAGCATCATAATATGTTCATGGATGGCAGGTCCATCAGTGGTTTTTAGCTAAGATGGTCAGCGATAGAACCCCATGCTCTGGAGTGCCCCGCTGATCCCCGACTCCTAATGCGCTGCCCCTTTAAAGCACTGGAGCGGCATTTCAAAGGGTCAGCGCAGCATTAATACTTGTGATTAATGTGTTTAAAAATTAACGTATTAATCCTGTCCTGTGTTAATCAGAACTTTAACACAGGTCAACTGATAGCCCTAATTAAAACAAGAGATAACTAACAAGGAGCAATGCATAAGATGTTTATTTAATATGAAGTCAAATTAAGAAAACTAACATTACCTTTGGAGTACATGTATTATGGTCCTTTCTAACAACTCAAGCTAGTAAACACACCAAAATGGTGCATACTGCAAATATATAAATAAATCAAAGACATGGCCATTAAGTAAAAGTCTAAAAAATACGCACAGCCTTAAGATGCTAAACAAATCTATGAGTGAACTAGAAATAGTCATGCACTCCTTAAAAATATTAATACAATATTTACTGACACTGGAAAGGAGAGTGAAAAGCATTCAATCAGGCTTATACACTTTCTCTGGGGAATGTTTAGAATCCATGCTATGCAAATGAAACCAAGATCTGTAAAACAGATAAAAGTTCTGGTTTGAAACTTTCACCTTGTGTGTGTCACTAACTCAAAGAGTAGAAGCCCCCAGAGCACTTGTCCAGAATCCAACTCCAATTGAAGGGCCAAACAAATTAAACAGGATCCATGGTAAAGTTCTTCCAGTTTTAACAATTTACCATGTATTAGCTAGTGACACAGGATTTTTAAAAAAATCATTAAGATCAGAGTTTGCAAATATCTACAACACTAAAACATATTCTGTTAAAAGAATTCTTTCCTTTCTTACCTTAAGCCATTAACACCTGTGTGAACTTTGTTTGAAATGTAATCATACAAATGTCATGAGCTAGACCTTTTGTTTCAGAATTCAAAAGCAGTTTAAAAGTTTTTAACCCATCTGAAATTTTGGCACCACCCCATACAGCCTGTCCCAGCCCAAGAGAGAGTCCTATGTTTGCAGCCCAACTAGGGCTGCTGTGCTGAGACAGACAGTCTGGCCTGCTGCCCGCAGTCCAGATAGGAGCAAGTTAAGACACCTCAAACAAATTCCCCTGTCTCTGCCTCACTGCACAGATGCCAGCATTCACCCACTCCCTCTTTTCTGCACCTGCCGCCATGCAATCTGCTCCTGTGCCCCCCTGCCCTCCAAGCCCTGCCCAGGAGGGAGTCCTATGTCTGCAGACCAGCTAGGGCTGCTGTGCTAAGGCAGACAGGGTTTGACTCTTGCTGCCTGCAGCACAGAGGAAACAAGTGAAGACCCCCCAACCACACTCCACTTTGTGCCCACCTCACTGCCCAGATGCCAGCACTGCCCCCCATTTCTCTGATCAGCTCCATGCAGTTTGCTCCCTCCCTCCCAGACCGGGAAGTTAAGAGGAGCGTGCTGAGTTACCTCACAAGAAGCTGCAGGCAAATCCAGCTGTTGTAATCAAGATTGTTGTAATCAGACCTCTCCTGAGTCCTGTACTGTACTTACTACATGCTCCAAACTCCCCTCCCGTCTTGCCCCCTCCTGTCTGAGCCATGTACTTACACCTTCCCCCATATGTCCTCTTTCATATCAGCATGCTCATTGTCTAGAATAGGGAGCTTCTGCTGCTGCAAGAGTGCCCCTCCCCAACCAGGAAGCTCTCTGTGCAGCAGCTCTAAACCTGTGGGTGGGAGTCAATTAGCAGCTGCAGTGCCATCCTGCCGTACAGCTTACAGGGAATTTAGCTCCTTAGCAGTACTGCGTCCTGTCTTCTGGTCTTTTCACAGCACCAGTATTGTTCCCTAAGGATTTGGCAGTTGTAGCAACTCACTTAAGGAAAGAAGGGATCCAGGTCTACCCATGTCCCAGCATTGGGTTAACCCTGGAAAGATCATCCTAACAAATGACCAATTCAGTTAAAGTAGCCTTAAAGCTCTTTGCCACACTGACGCCAAGCAGACGTCTTGTTTGATTTCAGGCCAGTGAGAGCCATCTTCCTCCACAAAAAAATTTTACAAATTGGACTGTTGCGTATCTTAACTTGACTTTAGCCCACAGTACTCTTAGGCTACGTCTACACTGGCATGATTTTCCGGAAATGCTTAAAACGGAACAGTTTTCCATTATAAGTATTTCCGGAAAAAGCACGTCTACATTGGCAGGATGCTTTTCCAGAAAAGCACTTTTTCTGGAAAAGCGTCTGTGCCAATCTAGACGCGCTTTTCCGCAAAAAAGCCCCAATTGTCATTTTCGCGATCGGGGCTTTTTTTGCGGAAAACACTACTGTGCTGTCTACACTGGCCCTTTTCTGGAACAGTTTTCCGGAAAAAGGACTTTTGCCCGAATGGGAGCAGCATAGTATTTCCAGAAAAGCGGCTGATTTCTTACAGTAGATCGTCAGTGCTTTTCCGGAAATTCAAGGGGCCAGTGTAGACAGCTGTCAAGTTATTCCGGAAAAGCGGCTGATTTTCCGGAATAAGTGGCCAGTGTAGACACAGCCTTAGAGTCCTTAAGTGGTATAGGGAACAGGTGAAAATTGCCCTTTTAGTTTCCTTTATATCAGTTTGAAGGGTGGGGATTCAGACCCTGATTGTGGGGACACTTATTCTTTGACAGAGGCTTCCAGAATGGATGCCTATCTTAATATGGTTATTTTGCATTTTTTGTTTTAGTAGGACATTTCCAAGCAAATGGATTGTTACTCACCAAGTGTGAAATCTGTGTGAACAATGACTGAAAGAAAGAGCGTACTTACTTTATAGTAACTGTTCTTTGAGATGTGTTGCCCAGGTGAATTCCATACCCTGCCCTCTTTTCTTGCTATTAGTCCTATTCCTGTGGGATTCTGTTTTGGCGAAGAACCTGAAGGATGGTTGGGGTTACTCCACCCTTATGCCTTAGGTGGGGGTGAATGGGAGACCTAGGTGCAGCCCCTACAGATGTTGCTGGCCAAAATAACTCAATTGTATAGGCATGAGGAGCCATGTGCACCAACAGTGGAATCCATTTGGAAAGCACATCCCAAAGAACTGCAGTTACTGTAAGGTAAGTAATTTTTTTTTCTTTTGAATAAGGGATTCGAGGACCTGATTTTACTGAATTTTGTATTAAATATTCCCACTGACTTTAGTGGAAGTTTGTGTACATAGGAACTGAAGGGTCAGGCTGAAAGCAATGCATCTTAGGATCAGATTGGCAAAAGTAGACTATTTTGTAAACATTTTACTAAAGTTACTCTTCTTTAAAAAGAAAAAGTAAAAAAGAATGAAACTTTGCTTTTCTTTGTTTAATTTTTGTTGTGACTCCAGCTGTATTCTGTTTCATTTTAATATCATTCTGCATATAGTTTTCCAATTGAGTAGTTCAGCTAATTTCTTTCCCTGTAAAATATTTAGGTACATTTACCATAAGTAGCTCTGACAAAGGCACCTGCTCTACAATAATGAGATGCAGTTACTGGGTGAAGTGAGGGCAATAATTCAAACTTAACTAGAACACAAAATAAGGGCCAGATTTTCTGGTGTTTTAATCTCTGCCGCCTTCTGCTCCAGCCTGACATGCCCTTATGGTGGCTGAGGCCATGACCATAGTATTGAGTGCTTTGGCTATCTCAGTTGGCATATGCTTGGTTTCACAGCTGTAAAAGTCTCCCTAACCATTTCCTCCTCACTTTGCACCAAGTTTCTGATTGGAACAGCACAGAATGTGGTTGTCTAAGTGTGTTACCTTGGTTCCTGTAGTACAACTTTATCAACCTGCAACTCTGAACCAGATAGCCTGGTAAGTTGTAGGTCCACTTCTCTTATATCCTGCTGCTGTGGAAAATGTTGATACGTAATAAAGAGAAATGTTGAAAGGAAATGTATCAAATAAGAGGGTGTAAGAAAAATAATTAAACAGTGGGCCTGATTTTCCCCTCCCTTGCATCTAGTGTTGTCACTTATATTTAATAATTAAACAGTGGGCCTGATTTTCCACTCCCTTGCATCTAGTGTTGTCATTTATATTTCTGCAGATGCAACCAAATCAGGGAAGGTAGAGATTTTATGCCCAAAAAAGTACACAGGTGTGAGGCAGAGGAGAATCAGGCCCACTGTGTGTATTAATAACCAATCCTACGTGGTGTGATACTGCATTTGCCTTATGCTGTCACAGATATCCAATAACATACTTGCATTATAAACATATAAGCACACTAATAACTCCTAAATGATTTAGTAATGTAATCTTTTTATTGTAAGACTCCTAAAGAAACAGTTCTTCCACCGAGCATTGAAAGTGATGAAAATGAAGCCTGATAAAGATACAAAAAAAGAGAAGGAGAAAGGAAAGACTGAGAGTGGCAAAGAAGATGAGAAAAAGAGCAAGAAGGAAAGTGGCAAAGATGAAAAGACTAAGAAAGACAAAGAGAAGGAAAAGAGAAAGGATGGTGAGAGAGAAGAATGCAAGAAGGTGAGTGTAACCCAAAAAAGAAGACAGTCAAAACTCTTAGATACTAATTATGTGAAAAACCTTGTTTTTAAAGGATAAGGTCATTTGATCCATAACTGAACATACCATCTCCATGCTATTCTATTTCTTTGGGCTTTAAAATATGTTTATTTCTTTAACTGTCTGGACCTAAATCTTCCAAGGGAGTCCAACCTGGCCTCCATTTGTGCACCTTGTCATTTTATATAATGATAGAGAAGATAGAATTTACACTAATAAATAAAACACATTTGTATTTTTGTTGGAATATGCAGTGATCCTTTGGACCAGTTGTGACAGGATCCCGGGGATACAACTTGGAACTCGGGTATCATTGTGCCCCCTTAACTCTCCAGCCTGGGCTGTCTGTCTCGGTGCTTTGCTAGTGACAAGCAGCATACCTCTCCAGGCACTGCTGTGATGTGGAGCCCCACACCCTGCTAGATTGAATGCTCCCAAAGCCACTCACATCACTCAGAGAGAAGCACCGGCAAATCTCTCAACCCCCAACCTTGTGCTCCGGAATATACCATCTTGCCTTAGTCAGAAGCCTGACCAGTGTAAGTTCATTACCCAGTCTGCGACTTTCTCAATATGAAAAAGACACACACTTGTCTTTGTAAACCGAACTGAGATTTCTGAAGCACTTCAAGCAGACCACAGTTTTAGGTAAGATATAAAACAGATTTTAAGTACAAAAGGTGAGAGATAGTTCCCCCTCCAAAAAAGTAAGTGTAGTCTAAATCTTAAATTTTATTAGTCTCTTCAGTTTGTCTTTGTCTTCACAGTAGCCCTCTCCCCACAGCTGTCTCTGTATCTCTCTGTATCAGAGGCAGCAATGTGGGGGGATAGGCAGGAACCAGTACACGCAGAGAGCTGGCTCTTTCTGCCTCCCTCTACCCCCAACCACACTGCTGCCTCTGTATCGGAGGCAACAGTCCGACAGGGGCAGGCAGCTCCCTGTGCACACACCTGCTCCTACCCCTCTGTGTGTAAACATGCAACTACTGAAATTTTCCTAAAATTTACTTAAATAAATACATTTTAACATCCCTAGCCCAAATATGTCCTGGTGGTCTTTGCTGAGTAATAGTGTTGAGCAATCCCTCATTGTGTAATGCTGTGCAACATTCTTACAGCATTGTAAAACTCTTGTTTACCACTCCTCTGCTTTTTAATGTTCTCTTATCTCCTGAGAACTAGCATTATATGACTCTCAAAACTTGCAACATATTTCAATAAGAGCTATGCAGCAAAATTTCATAACTTTGTTAACACTCAGGACAAGTCTACACTGGCAAGTTCCTGTGGAGTAAATCAACAATCAGCACTGTAACTTTCATGGTGTTTACGTTGGCAAGGCACTTAAGTGTGCTTTAGTTCCACACCTAGTGTGCTCTAGGTAAGCCCCATGTCTGTGAGAAGTATAGAGCCTGCTGCACTCTGGATAATGCACTGGGGTGCCAGTGTGGACACTGTGGTGTAATACTGCATCCTGACTGGCCACTCAGGTCATCAGTTTGAACTCTACTGCCATGCTCAGGTGACCAAGAGCCACCTTTGTGCTCTTTTTGAAATTTGAAAGACCCCTTCTTGTTTGCTTAGCGACGTGGTATGTTCTCAGCACACCTCTCCAGCTGGCCTTGCCTGTTCCATGCATCAGGAAATACCTTACTCGGCACCATGCTGAGGTACTAAACCTCATCAGCATTTGGGGAGAGGAGGCAGTCCAGTCAAAGCTGTGATCCAGCTGTAGGAATTGTGATATCAACGGGCACATCTCTAGATGCATAATCGAAAGGGGCCATGACTGGGATGCACTGCAGTATAGGGTCAAAGAGAAGGAGCTGCAAAATGTCTACCACAAGGCATGTGAAGTAAACCGCCACTCTGGTGCTGCACCTACAACCTGCAACTACTACAAAGTGCTCGATGATAAACTTGGAAGTGATTTCACCTCCACTCCGAAAGACATGGGTCAGGGGGCATCTAGTGTGGACTGAGACAGAATGAGGAAGTTGCAGGCAGTTGATTGTGCTGAAGGGGAAAGGGACACAGAGCCAGAGGACTCAGCATCCATAGAGGCTTGCAGTCAGGAGCCTTTTTGTACTACTGAAGAGGCAAGCCATTTGCAGCCCTTGGAAGCTGTGGATGATGCACCTGGTCTGGGAGGGTTACAGAAAGGAGGTTGGGTTCTGTGTGATGATGCTATTAGCAGAGTGTCAGTTAGATCAGCGGTTCTCCAAACTTTTTGGGCTCTGGAGCCCTTTACATGCGTAAAAATTTATGCGGAGTCCCAGCGGTCCACTGATTGTATGTGTTGTGCCTATTGATGTTTCCAGTTTGTCAACCTTGCGGAGCCCCTAGAGATGTCTCACCGTTTGAGAAACACTGAGTTAGAGGGTGAACTGACTGTTGATGCAATCTCTGAGGTCTCAGTAATCTACCTCACAGACCTCATCAAAAGCTTCATGCAGCTGCTGTGCCACCCTTCTCAGGCTGCAGCAAGGGTTTTCCCAGCCCTTTCTCCTGCCCCGCTGCACCTTTCATGCTCTTAATGGTGACTCATCATGGAGGGGTTCCTGCATGTTATTTATGCTTGCTCCAGGACAAGCCGTACTATGTATGTGGACAGTACAAGTGTTTCAAAGTGGTTCGGACAGTGCTGTGTCTACCATTAACAATGGGCCTTTTCTGACATGTTGCAGTTTTGCACTTGATAGAGCCGGCCTTGGCATGCCAGTCTCAGGAAGTTCTAACTCCTGCAGAGCATCGAAGATGGTCACAGAAGCACCCAAAAAAGACTGGAGAGGAGTTTTTGCGAGATATCCTGAGCAATGCAGATGCTGAACATAAAAAATTGCAGGAGAAGAGGGACAGGGACAGGAGGGAATGGAAAGAGAACACACAAATGGTTCCTAAGCATTATAGAGCAGCAAGTGAACATGCTGGAGACACTGCTAGCACTGTAGATGGAGTAGCTGCACAACCACCCCGTCCCTGCCCCGCAGCCCTGTGTCCCAAAACTTTTTCTTATACACTCGTCTGTCCCCACCAATGCAGTTGGGCACCACTCTGTCCCTGGGTGCCACTCGCTACATGCAACATCTGCCTGCCCAACCTCCATCCATGCAGACTCTTGCAGGCTGCCAATGTACTCAACAGCAGTCTGCATGCAGCTTAGCCCTGATGAACTGCAGCTCTCCTTAAACAGCATATTAGACAGTGGGACTGCATATGAACTGTGGACATATACAAAGCTGTGAAATTCTTGGGCATACCTAACTTCCTTCCTCCATCCTTATTCCTTCTCTGTTTCCCACAGTGCAGATGTTTGTTTCATGCTTCATGGGTGGTCTAAGTTTACTGTGTTTAATAATAAATGAAATTAACGTTTTGAAGACATCTTTATTCCATTAGATGCAAGCAAGAAAGCATACCCCAGCAAAGCTATAATCAGTGTTAGCACTAAATCCTGCACACAGACCACTAAGAGTAACCACCTAGCATCACAGCCATTGCACTCTCCTACACAGCAACAAGTTTTACTGGCTTTGAGCACCAAATTGCTGCCTCTAGGCATCCCTGATCCTTATGGAACTGTGCTGTGCTCCTCTAATAGCCCTGGATTTGGGCTGTTTAGACTCAGGCTCCAGGTGCTGTGCATCAGCAATCCAACCCTGATTAAAGGTTTCACCCTTTCCTTCACAAATGTAATGGAGGGTACAGCTCATGGGGATGTTATCAGCCAAGTCCAGCTTTCTGAACAAACATTGGCAGCAGGCCTTCAAACAGCCAAAAGCACACTCCACAGTAATTCTCCATCTGATCAGCCTGTTGAACCTCTCCTTGCTGCTGTCAGGGTTCCCTGTGTATGGGTTCATGAGCCACTGCATTAAGGAGTACACAGGGTCTCCAAGGATCAGAATGGACATTTCCATTTCCCCCATGGTGATCTTCTGGACTGGGAAGAAAGTTCCCACTTTCAGCTTCCTGAACAGGCCAGTGTTCCGAAAGATGTGTACTTTTCCAGACCAGCACCTTTCCAGACCAGCCTGCATTAATGTCCATGAAATGCCCATGTTGATCCACAAGCACTTGCAGAACCAGGGAGAAATACCTCTTGCGATTAATGTATTCAGAGGCTAAGTGGTCTGGTGCCACAATTGGAATATGCGTACCCTCTATTATCCCTCTGCAATTTGGGAAGCCTGTCCATGCAAACCCATTCACAATTTCATGCTCAGAGTCATAGTCTTTCAGAGCAGGATGTGATTTATGGCTCTGTACACTCCATCAGTACAAGTCCAACAGTCAACTCTCCCACTCCGAAATTGGCGACTAAGTGAAACCTGTCTGGAGTAGTCAGCTTCCACAGTGTGATTGAGACACATATCTCCAACAGCAGGGCAACTTTCACGCGTGTCCTTGTGCTGCAGGGTGGCGGCAAGTTCAGCACCCAGTTCCATGAAAGTGGTTTCTACATCTGAAAGTTCTGCAGCCACTCCTCATCATCCCAGGCTTACTTGACAATGTGATCCCATCACTCACTGCTTGTTTTCCAAGCCCAAAATTGATGTTCTGCTGTGGTCAGCACCTCTGTGAATGCCACAAGAAATCTCATGCCATAAGAATACTGCTCTGACTCCTCATCACTTTGCAAGTCAGGAATCACTCGACTACCGTATGTGATGTGTTAGTGAGACCTAACAGCATTTTCATCAACAGCTGGGGATCCATTCCTGCACACGGAGGAGGCAGAGTGCACAGCACAGGAGCCATTGAAAGATGAAACCAAATGTGGACAGAAGCACAAGGGTTGCTGAAATGTGAAGCAATACATCACAGGGCTTTGGGATAGGACCCAGGATGCCACAAACCTCTGTGGCAGAAGAGGAAGAGGTGCTCAGTGAGATAGCTGCCCAGCATGCACCACTCCAAAAGGTACTGCAAGTGCTACGAGTGTGGTCACACTAATGTGCTGGTGGCTGACTGTGGATATCCAATAGCATTTTCTCTGCTGCATTCCATGAGCAGCATTGTAACTTCCAGTGCTTTATATTTGCCAGTGTAGACATGACCTAACAATACACATACTTTTGACAGTTTCAGCAAATCATGATCTTTCCTATATCTTGCATAGCATACTTTTGTATGAAAAATATCTTATGTGACCAGGGTGAAGTTCCAAGAAACTGCTTTTGAGGTGCAGAGTGTTACACCGCTATATTAACATTTGTACATACGTAAGACAGTGCACCAAATTTGTGTGTGTAGAAATGGAAGTCCCAGGTTGAAATTTTGGCTAGTAATGAGTGCTTCTGCAGTGGTAGTCCTGTTCAGCACCCGTAAGCAACTTCGTAATAGTGATATATGGATGCAGCCAGAATTTCAGTTTGGGACCTATGAATCTGGGGCCTTTTATAGGCTCTAAATTCACTTTTAATTATTCCTCTGTTTCATGCTTGATACATGTTCATAGGATGAGAGCCCAGGAACACCCAAGAAAAAGGATACTAAGAGAAAATTTAAACTTGAGCCACATGAAGATCAACTTTTCCTGGATGGAAATGAGGTGAGGTTTGTGTGTAACTACAATTGTGTGTTTCTACACTTCCTACATTTGTTATCAGTGACCACTACATTGACAGTAAAATACTGAAACCAAGTAATTTCTTTAGACTGGTTCCTTCCTGTCCTTTCAATAGTTACCATAATGGGTCGGAACTTGCTGAACTCTCTTGCTAGGAGGTCCTGCTACATTGAAGTATTTTTAAACAAAAGTTGGAGCTTCAAATTCAGTTACAGGGAAGCGAGTCCAAGGTATCTTGCCATCTAAAAGCCTCATCTGAACATAAGACGGGGAGTCAGGCATGCCAAAATTCTAAATTAGGTTCTGCCACCAAATTTCTGTGTGGCCTTAAGTTATTTACCCTCTCCGTTTGATTTAAAGGAGAAAAGTGAGGCACAATTTACTTCTCCAAATGATACCATAATGCCGGGATTCCTGCTCTGACACTTCCGTTTTGAGACAAAGGGCACTTCCTGTGCTCCTCAGTGATTTTTGAAAGGGAACTATGTCTCATACATAGATCAAACGCTGTGTCTCAGTGGCCCCTGGAATGTTTCCTTAAATTCCTTTTTGATGGCAGTCAGCGAAGCAGTGTCCCATTAGGGCTGTGACTGTTATGGCTGGCCCCAGTTCTCTGCTTATCCTGCAGAATATACAGCAAAAGAAACGGAAATTGGTGAGTACCTACAGTAATGAGTTTGTATATGTCTGGTATGCAGTTGATGTAACAGTTACTTTCTTTTCAGCTATGAAAGTTATGGCTACTGCTATCCAGTATCTTGAGTCTTCACCGCCAGATAAAGATGCTATCTGGTTTTAATGACATTCATTAATTGTATTAGTTCAAAGTTGGGGTGTTACATATCGATTAATTGAATAATCAAGTAACCACATGAATTCTGATTTGTTAGTTGAGTATTCTAGAGTCCCTGGGGTGGGGTCGACAGGCAGTGTATTCTAGCCTTGCTCCCGGGGAGCCTCCTGCCACTCCGTGCTGCTGCCTCTGTATCACTTGAGAAGGACCAGGCAAGTTGGAGGGTGAAGAGATTATCAAGCCCTCTGTCAACTCATAAGGCCAGGGCCCAACAGGATTATGGATTCGCTTCAAGACAGTCGATTAGAGATAGTTGCTTTTATTAATCTCACTACGTCACTACTATTACAGGTTTAATACTGCCAGATGGTTACACAGCTACTGCAAAGTAATACACCAGTAAGGCATTTGGAAATGCTTACGCCCCTTCAGTCTGTGGGGAGTCCTGTTCCTGTCACCTCGCACCAGACTGCAGTGGATGTGGCTCCAGCTGAGGGAATCCAGGGTACCCTCCGAGGTCTAGGTCCCTGGGAGACTCACCGGACACGGGACTCCCTACACTAGTTATACTACAGTTGTTTACTGGGTGTGCGCATATTGGCCCAATGCCCGGAGCTGAGAGCCGAGGTCATGTTGTTTATCCCTGGTATTTTTGCCATCAGGGTTCATGGTTGGCCTAGAGGGATACAAATTTAACCCCTGGAGGCCTACATATGACTTGTGACACTCTCCAACAACTGCGTGCACCTGTATCAGAGGAAGCAGCACAGAGTGCCAGGTGGGAGGTGGTCCACAAGGGAAGCCAGTTTAAAACCAAGCTCCCCTTGCAGACTGGCTGTCTGTCATAAAAAGGCAGCAGTGTGGGGTGGCAGCAGCTCCTGTCTGGGGGTGATCTGAGCTCCTGGACCCACCACAAACCAGAACTGAGCCAGGCTGCCTGCTCGCCTAGCTCCAAATACACTTTTTAAATGCAGAGCCACAGCAGGGGTAGGTCCCGGACCTGGCATGAGCCAGGACTAAGCCGGGCAGCTGGTCAACCTGCTACAAAATGTACTGGCAAGGGATGGGGGAGGGAAATGTGTGTAGTCACATTAACCTTATAAGCTTTTGCTTATTGGTTAATCAACTACACTATTACATCCCTAGTTAAAAGTTCTCCACATTTTGACAAGAAGCGTTTTCTTTAGATCATGGCTTCCCAAACTGGGGGGGCATGAAGAAATTCCAGGTGGGGTGCGAGGTGACCCAGTCCCCCTCTCCACCCCCCAGTCAATTCCTTCCGCCCAAGTTTTGCTGCTATTTTTATTTTTCGTCCCCGGTCAGTTCCTTTCTCCCTCCCCTCAAGTTTTTCTGCTATTTTGGGGGGGGCATGAGGGTTTCTCAAAAATCAAAAAGGGGGCATGATGCCAAAAAGTTTGGGAACCACTGCTTTAGGGTGAGTGAATTCCTCGTTCAAGTAGATTGTGTAAGTTCCCCCGAACACTGTTGGTACAATGTAGGGATGTAATAGTGTAACTGATTAACCGATAAGCAAAAGCTTATAGATTGATGCTATACATGCATTCCCCTTCTCTCCCCCTCCTCCCCCCCGCACACACACACATGGCAGTAATTTTTTTAGCAGGCTGGCCAGCATTCTGGCTCAGTCCTAGCTTGAAACTGGTCCAGGACCTCCTACCCCTGATGCAGCTCTGCATTTAAAGTGTATTAGGAGGCGGGCTGCCCAGCTCAGTTCTGGGTTGCATCGACCTCCCTAGCCCGAGACAGAGGCTTCTGCCACCCCATGCTGCTGCTTTATCAGAGGTAGCAGCAGTGGGCGACAGGCAGCCGGTCCAGGCAGACAGTTCACAAGGGGAGCTGGTTTTTAAACTAGCTCCCCTCCTGGACCAGTTCCCGCCTGACACTTTGCACTGCTTCCTCTGATATAGTAGCTGCCAGCCCTGCCCCCAGGGACTACAGAATAGTTGACTAACTGATAAGAATTCTTGAGGTTACTCAAACTAGTCAATTATTTGATGTTTAACATCCCTAGTACAATATGGTGCAAGCATGGGGGTTAAGGTGACATTGTGCTGTGGTATAAATTTTTGCTCTTAATTACTATTTGTCTGATCTTATCTCCCTTAGCTCCATTTATTTCTACATTTGTCTTCATTTGAGATTCCTATCTCACTCAGATCTCTTTCCTGGGTGACTCTAGTCACCTAAAGCAGTGTATGGCTTTTTTCCTTTTGGGAATATTAGTTGCTTTTTTTGCCTTTCATTTCCCATTCCCCGAATCTGTTATCTAATGTGAACTCATAGAGAAAACAGGCTTCAGGAGTAGTAGTCGCAAGGTTATATATCTGCCTTTGGCAGCTACTTCACTGAGCGGAATTGACATAGACATTGGCTTCATATCTCATCCAAAAATACAGAAGCTCCAGCACTGCAGTGCCCCTCACCACAGTGCTGTGCCATGGTTCCAAGCTGACTTGGAATTGCACCTGGTCAGGCTTGTGATGTGGGTGTTGGGGACAGCAAAGGGGGAATTGCTCTGGGGCCCAGTGATTCTAAAGGGCCTAAGGCTCCTGGCTGCTGCTGCGGCAACTGAAGTCCCAGGCCCATAGAATCACTGTTGGATGATGTGTTCCTGTGATAGGGTACCGAGCACCACCACCCAGTTAGATGTCCCCGTTCCGGGGCCCGGTGTAGCCTGCACTGCTAAATAGGATATCCTGATTAGGCTTTCCCACAGGGAGGGGAAGGGGGACCCGGTCCTGCCCTCTCTCTGAGTCCCCACCCAGGGCCCTAAGGTCAGGGGGACACTCTCCCTCCCCTTGACCTGACTGGCAGGGCGTTACTCTTAACTCACCAGTCTGCAGGCTTACTTCCCTAGCCCAACCGTGGGTCACTTCCTTTCCTTCTGACAGCTCACTCACTGGCGAAGTTCCTGTCCAGGTCGTCCCCGCTTCCCAGGTTCTTCCACCGGGACCCTCAGACAGTGACTTTCCACGTCTCTTCCTCTGCGCCTTCTCTCATTTCCTCCCTCGCTGACCCCGGCGTGCCCTCTTTTGGGCCCACGTCCGCCCCCAGCCCCCAATCCCCTGCATCTCTCTCCCAGTCGGCCTGCCCCTCACCTCTTAGTGCAGCATCCAGTATCCCGGCAATGGGGTTACAGACGGCCTTGAGCGTTCTGGGCCCTGTTCCTTCATCCCCATTTGTGCAGGGCTGCAGCTTCCAAGTCAGGGTCGCTCCAGTGCCCCTCTTCCCCGGGGGGGCTCCGCGGGGGCGGGGCTCTACAGCCCCATCACACACCTCCCCTTCAAGTCAAACCGTCTTTTCCTTTGTCGCGTCTCCTCGCTCTCCTCCCAGTGCGACAACCAGTCTGCGTTTTGGTGCATCTTCCCCAGCCTGTGGACCACGTAGAAACAGTAAGGTACCACCTCATGAGCTGCAGGTTTTATACTTTTCATAGATTGAAGCCATCGGAGCAGTGCATGATCTGTGACCACGATAAAGCAGTCCCCTAAAAGTTAGTAATGGAGTACTTCGATAGCCCACTTTACTGCGAGGGCCTCTTTTATGGCGGCATAATTACACTCCCGTGGGAATAGTTTCCTGCTCAAATACAGCACAGGGTGCTCACTCCTCTCCCCTCCCCCCAACTTCTGGGGCCAACACCGCCCCCAGCCCTACCTCGGAGGCGTCCGATAACTGCACCTCGTAGTCCACGTCGCCCACTCGGCATCGGACTTCAAAAGGGCCTTGCTACCTGGCCAACAGCTTGGATTCGCAGGATGGTAATAGGAGTAGGACCCTGTCCCCCGGCTGTAATACGTGCATCTGGGTGTTCTGGTTGTAGTGCTGCTGCGCCTGGTGTTCCTAGGCCCATAGCAGATTGGTCTTGGCAAAGGCCCCCGATGACTGTAGCCTGTTTCTTAGCTGCAAGACATACTTTATGGAGCCTTGAACTGGCAATTCCTGCTCCTCCCATCCCTCTTCTACTAAGTCTAATATACCCCGCGGCCGTCGCCCATAGAGTAGTTCAAAGGGTGAATACCATAATGAGGCTTGGAGCACCTCCAGGATGGAGAACAGCAGATCCGGGAGTAGTTTGTCCCAGTCCCGGGAGGCCTCTTGTATAAACTTCCGTAACATTTACTTCAGGGTTCTATTAAATCGTTTGACCAAACCATCCGACTGGGGGTGGTAGACTGAGGTCTGTAATGTCTTAACCCGTAACATATGACATAGTTCCATCATTAAGTGGGACGTTATGTTAGTCCCCTGGTCAGTCAATAGTTCTCGCGGAAGCCCTGCTCTTGAGAATTTTTACCAGCTGGTCCACGATTACCAGGGCCATCACCTGCTGCAGGGGTATGGCCTCCGGATAACTGGTCGCGTAATCCATTATCACAAGGTGGCCCCTCCCCAACCGTTCCAGCGGCCCCATGATATCTGTGCTATTATTTCAAATGGTACTCCGACCACCAGGAGGGGTATTAACGGGGCCTTTGGGATCCTAGTCCGGGGAGGGGCGGGTCTGCTAGCATTCAGGACACGATTTGCAAAAGTCTCGGATTTCCCTATAAACTTCCAGCCAGAAGAACCACTGCAGTACTCTCTGCTGGGTTTTCTCCCACCCCAGGTGCCCTGCCCCTGGGCTGGCGGGGGCCAACTCCAGGACTCATTTCCTGTATTGTCCTGGGACCAGTAACTTTCTCTCCTCTCCTTGCCCCACTCCATTCTCAACATGTGGTATAAGCAGTCATTGTGTACCTGAAAGCACGGGCCTTGGCACACGCGGCTTTCGTGACCATCTTCTCAGTCGGAAGTCTTTGCTTGTTCCCAGGCACCTCATAAGATGGGATCCTCCCACTGTTGCTGTAGGAAATCCCCCTCTGTACTCTCCAAATCGAAGGGAGTCTTGGCTGCCCCGAGGGCCCAGGACCAGCACCATCCTGGGATTCCGCCATCTTCTAGCCTGGGGCGGCAAGAGTCGTTTTTCCATCTTTCTCTGACTCTCCGGAGGTCCTGCTGGCTCTATCACTTCAGGGCTTGTTCAAATCTGGGCCTGTCCCAACGAGACCGGGTAATTAAGGGTTGGGGTGAGCGCGACCTTGCACCTGCTTTCCCTCTGTCCATCGTGGATTGTGACCCAGACGGTGGGGTATGTCCGCACATCCCTGTGTATACACTGCATCCAGACCAGTCCTCCTGTCAGCCGCTCCCTCTGATTAGGTCCGCTCGTATCATTGTTTTTCCTCATCCAGAATCTATCATGGCCTCTCAACCTTTATGACGATCATCGGTCTGGTGTGCCGCCGATCGTCCACCCCAGGCTGAGGGCTGGCTAGCCAGCTGAATGTGCAATCCATCAAGGGGCACTCTCTCCGAAAGTGCCCCTTCTGGCCACATTAATAGCATACCCCTTTAGCCGGGAGTCCCTCCTTTCTGCCCATCTCCTCAATTGGGGAGTCCTTTCTCTACCTTGCCCTCCGTTGCGGGTGTAGGGGTTGTCGGGGTCCGCCATACTGGGGCTAATCTTCCCGTCCAGGTCGTCCCCACTTTCCAGGTTCTTCACCGGGACCCTCTGTCAGTGTCTCTCCATGTCTCTTCCTCTGCGTCTCCTCTCACTTCCTTCCCCGCTGACCCTGGCATGTCCCCTTTTAGGCCCGGGCCTGCCCCCAGGCGTCCAATCCCTCCATGTCTCTTCCTCTGCGTCTCCTCTCACTTCCTTCCCCGCTGACCCTGGCATGTCCCCTTTTAGGCCCGGGCCTGCCCCCCAGCGTCCAATCCCCCGCATCTCTTCCCCGGCTGGCCTAGCCTGGCCCTCACCTCCTGGTGCAGTGGGGTCACAGCTGGCCCTCTCACAGTTCCGCGGGGCCGCGGCTTCCTGTAACAACACTGGTCCCTGCAGCCGCACTGGGCGTGCGGAAATCGTTCTCCGCGGCCAAGTCGGGGGGCACGCCAGCAGCCATATCCGGTTGCTCCAGCGCCCTGCCTCCCCCAAGGGGGCTCCGCGAGTGTGGGGCTCTACCGCCCCATCACAGTTTGAGCCCCATGCTATATGCTCTGGCTGGCAGGGCTGGCTGCCCTAGCCCTGCCCCCTTCCAGAAGCATGGCATTCTCCCCCCACACACACAGCGAGCTCCCTACATCTGATAATCAATGTAACATAGTACCATGGTAATAAAGTAACATGCAGATGAGGAAATGACTCTTAAATTATATTCCAAAATAAAGATTTTTGATCATTTTAACCTTTTTATTCTCATTGTAGGTATATGTGTGGATCTATGACCCAGTTCATTTTAAAACATTTGCCATGGGACTTGTACTTGGTAAGTAAGCATAGATGTTAACATATAGTATTGGCTGTAGTACCAAACAGGCATATCTGTTCCTTGAGACATCTGTCTCTCTCTCTCATGGACAAAGCTTTTAGTATTTATACTTTGCTCCAATTTGACACCTGCTCCAATCTTGATAACAATGAGAGAAAAGGTGCATGTGGCAAAAACCTTAGAAGAGTGAGACTTCTTTTTATTCTCTCATTCAGACACAGAATTAATATTTTTTATCAATTTGCACCTATTACTGTTACAACTGCTAACTGATCTGTAGATTTCAATTACTTAAGGCTAGTAAATTGTCTTCTTTATAGGTGCTGAACAAGAGAAAAGGTGCATGTGGCAAAAACCTGAGAAGAGTGAGACTTCTCATAATTGATACCTTTTCCCATTTTTATAGTCTAAACCAGTTTTAAAATTTACACACTGGTCTATTATTCAGTAGATGCTGCTGTGTAATGGGGAAATAGAAAAAGTCAGGGCCTAAAAGGCACCCAAATTCCCTGAATTTAGAAATCATGGTAGCACCTTTCTAGAGAATTATGTTAACACTTTCTGCCTAACCACTAAGGTGATGGGCACCTTGGAAATATTCAAAGTAGATGGATAAACATTTTTATAAGTATAAAAAGTGCCTAAATATGCTATATTTCAGTTGTTGGGGACCTTGTGTACAATATGCCTTATATATTTGGTACTGTCTATACTTATCAGGGATTACTACTACTTATATAGTGCTTTTTATCTTGAATTACACAAATAATCTATTCAGTCCCTCTCTGAGGCTGGTAAATATTGTTTATTTCAGTTATAAAATGAGGAAAACTGAGGCAGAGAGGTGAAGTGACTTATCAAGGCAAGGCCACATGCATAAGTAAGTCAGTGTCAGAGCTGGCATTAGAATGTAATTATTCCTCACTCCCAGTTCCATGTTCACATCATCTCTCAATCAGCACAATTCTCTAAGAAGATATTATTGATATGACCTTGCTGTATTTAGGGCTTTGAATTGGTAATGTGCTAAGCGTCTCAAGTGGTGTTGAGAGCAAGTGATGCATTTACACCATCTTGTTATTCAGCAAATAACAGGAGGGCAAAAACTGCACAACTCTTTGGAAGATGGATGGGGGTTGGGCCTGAAAAACAAACACAATGAAAGACTGGGAACAGTGACTTTCTTTCCAAACTTCAGCATGTTCTTCTATTGGGAGTTGATGCCTAAGCTGGTCAGTTATATATGTGTATTTGTGGGCCAAGAGAAATCCTACTCTCTGTTTCTAAGTGGCAGGCAAACAATGGGAATGCCTATTCAGAGTGCTTGTCAGCCATTATTGCAGGCAAAAATGTGATGCCATTATAGCTCTTTAATTAGTACTTTGAAAATTATCCATGTTTCTCAAAAATCTTCTTATCTTCCTATTTAGTGATTGCTGTTATAGCTGCAACTCTTTTCCCGCTTTGGCCTGCAGAAATGCGAGTAGGTGTTTATTACCTCAGCGTAGGCGCAGGCTGTTTTGTAGCCAGTATTCTCCTCCTTGCTGTTGGTAAGTGTCATTTGTTATCAGTAAAAGTGAGCTGAACAGGACAACTATGGTGTTTGGGTGACTTAGGACCCTGTCTAATCTGTAAAGGTGGCATAAATATTTAGGCTCCTAAATCTGTCAACTTAACTTTTGAGAATTTTTTACTCCTATTCTTTAAAATAGCCATAGACCAGTGGTCCCCAAACTGTAAAATATGCATCCCGAGGGGAGTGTGTAGGAATGTCCAAAGGCACCCAGGCCAGCTTCTGCCAGAACACACTGCTTTGCCCTCCCTCCCTTCCCACCATGGCTTCACTACCAGTCACAGCTCTGGCCTACAGCCCTGCTCCTGGCTCTACTTCATCACGGAAGCATGAATACATTCCATTACTTAGGAATGCGGGGGCAACATGCAAGGAAAAGTTTGGGAGCCAGTACTATAGACTAATCTTATATGAGCAGTTCCTTAATGGCCACAGTGTGGCATGGAAATAAGTGGGTTTTCAGCATCCAGCTCATGCCTCAGGCTTACCACGGGCTGTGCAATCATCTTATATAGTGAAGAATATGGTCCTTAGGACAGCACAAGTGCTCTGTCCTATCAGAGCTTTCTGGTCCACTATTTGTGTTAGACCTCTCTGGCTGTTTTATTCTTGTTTTAGGCATTAAAGTCGCTGGAATTATCTATTGTGAGAAGTGTTAGCAAGGTTGTGAGACAAGAAAAGTGATCAAGGGAGTGGGGTCATTAAACTGATGAGAAACAATAGCCAAAGCAAGGAGAAAAAATTGGAGACAACAGGGAGAGGAAAAGGACTCATCTACAACCATAGTGTCCAACCAGTTCTGAAGCAGTAACCACTATAGTAGCTACTGCTATAGCTAGCTAGCTACACTCAACCAGCCAACTAGCCACATTGTTCAAGGCAACTAACCACATGTGGCTACTGTGTTGGACACTATGGGTCTACAAACTAGAAGCAGTGCTTTGTGTTGGCGAGATAATGTGTACTATAGACTAATCTTATATGAGCAGTTCCTTAATGGCCACAGTGTGGCATGGAAATAAGTGGGTTTTCAGCATCCAGCTCATGCCTCAGGCTTACCACGGGCTGTGCAATCATCTTATATAGTGATTCCTGAAAAGCCAGTTCAAGCTATGGGTAGAGGTGGAATCACCTGACCCAGAAATCCTGTGTTACATTGTGTGTATATAGAATACAAAATAAAGTAAAACAGCCTTCTGGGTGTGTGTTTGCATCTTGATATTAGTGGCCAGCATTTTGGCTAACCACCATCCTTCTAAAAAAAACTTGAAAAATTAGTGGTCCTGTAGCATGTTAGAGACTAACAAAAATATAGATAGTATCATGAGATTTTGTGGGTACAACTCACTTCTTCAATTAAGTGGACCACTTGTTTTTCAAGGCTTTTTTAAATTACAGACTAACATGGCTACGCTTTTGCATCTTCCTCCTAGGCAGAATTAGATGCTATGGCCTTAAGGAACAGTTCGGGACCAATACATAGGCATGTACATAATCAGTTTTATTTCTTTTGCAATTTGCCTATTAAGGATACGGGCCCAGATCCTCAAAACTGAAAATCAATGGAAATTAGGAGTCTAACTACCTTGGAGGATGCAGACCCAGATAATCAAGATTCATCCTTCCAGCCGAGAAATTTAGTTTTATTTATTTAGTTTTGCGTGTTTTGTCTGTCCCCAACTTGATTTGGAGTACAGCAAGGTAGAGGCATCTAATGAACACAGTAATTATGTTCTGTAAATGTTTATGTAAAATATTTGGACTCTTTCTCCTCACAGCCCGCTGCATTCTCTTCCTTATTATTTGGCTGATAACCGGAGGAAGGCATCACTTCTGGTTTTTACCAAATCTGACAGCGGACGTGGGTTTCATTGACTCCTTCAGGCCCCTGTACACACACGAATACAAGGGACCAAAAGCAGACTTAAAGAAAGAGGAGAAATCAGAATCCAAAAAGCAGCCAAAGTCTGACAATGAGGAGAAATCAGATAGTGAGAAAAAGGAAGAGGAGGATGGAAAAGTCGAAGCAACGGGCAACTCAGGAGCAGAGCGGCATTCAGACACAGACAGTGATAGACGGGAGGAGGACCGATCCCAGCACAGTAGTGGAAATGGAAATGATTTTGAAATGATCACAAAAGAGGAACTTGAACAGCAAACAGATGAAGGAGACTGTGAGGAGGAAGAGGAAGAGGAGGAAGAGGAAGAAACTAGATCTTTACATGAAAAATCCTAACTCACTGTTGTTGAGACTGAGTATGTTCAAAATAATTGGGTTTTCTTCATTGGCTGATCACCAAAATGTAGTTACATTAACATTCTTTCAATTTGTTTGCTGAAATACATGTTATACAAACAGTTTTATATTTAGTTTCTTCATTTAAAAATATTTACTTGATGACTTGGTACAATCTGAAGTCATTAATACAGATTTACAAAAGTTTTGTTAATTGGACAAGTTTTCTGTCAGATCTTATGATTTGTCTAGAGAGTACTCAAACACACTGAAGAACATAGTTTCCCTACTGTCATTTTCTGGAACTTGCATAACTTTTCAATAAGTATAGCCTACTCAAAATAGCTTTGTAAAATGGTAAATGTTGACCAACCGAATTTCAGATTATTCCTAGTATATTATTCATTTGATAGCTAGTTAAGTAAAGCACTGCTTAGCTCATGGCTTTCTTGATTTTTTATAAAATTGTAAGACAACTAGTTTTAGCAGAAGGTTATTATAAAGTATTTTGCTCAAGACATACAAGCTAATAGTGCTTATTTGGCTGCAGTGTTTTCAGTTTTGTACAAATTGTGTACCACCAATCTAAGAAGTCCAAACTGTTTTGTACATCTGGGTTCTGAGAAAGTTGTCCTCTCTCAAGGAGGCAAAGGGAATAGCACAGTTTGGAAACTATGGGTTTCTTCTCCCCTCCTCCCCATCATAATATGAGAAGAAATTATTCTGTACATAATTTTAAAATAAAACAACCCTCTTTATTTTAACTGTTACTTATTATTTAGAAGTTTTATCCAGATTTTAATTTGTATAACTGAAGCCATTTCAGGGTGTGTTTATTAAAGAAATGCAAGACAGAGGACCTCTTGGAATCTGTATGTAATTGGTAGATTTGTCCTAGGAACTTTAGTTTCCTGCCAACATTCCATGTATTTGAGTGAGTAAACTGATCCTTATTAAACAAAAGCAGATAACACAACTGTCTGTATGCCTTATCTTAACGTTTTCTATATTCAGAAACTGGAGTACTGTATTAACTGGTAAGCACTGCTTGAAAGTATTCACCTGTTCATAATTACAGATTAACAAAAAAAAGTTAATTCTAATGAGGACCAAGATCAAATTGTTTTTCCAACTCCTGAAGCAATTTGAATAGTCAGTTTGCCTACCTCATCTCTTAATTGAAAGATGTTGGAAAACATCTTATTAGTTATATAAGTATTTTAAAAGTTAAGATTTGATGACATTCCTCTGAATCATTCAATTTCAGACTGAAATTGAAATAGTGAATACAGATATAATTTTTCCCTTACACTACAATAGGAAAGAATGCTCAAAATATTGTTTGAATTTTCAGTAGTTGACTAGAGCTTTTATTCTTGAATTGCTTTTTTCTAATCACCAGTGTTTTGAAGATGTTCCATTTTTCTGATGTGCAAATATATACATTTTACATATACATTGGTAAACATGACCATGGATATGGTCTGATTTGCTTACTACTGCCAAATATTGGAGACTGGATTTGTTATGCATTTTTCTATTGATACAGAAGAAACTTTTATTAACCTATTCCCTGTCAAACTAACATTTGTGTGTTGTGGCAGTTTACAATGACTGGTTTTAACAAACCATTCACTACCTTATTAAGATATGCAATGGAATAGGATACTGGCTCAGAATTCTTCTCGACACTCAGTTTAGCAACAATTTTGAACAATACACTTCAGACAGGCTTGCAGTTCTAGTCTCCACTGATAGCATTGGGAACTAAACTGCAGTCTTTTATGTGCAGTAGTCTTTAACTATTTGATACATCAAAGAATCTCAGTACCACCCTTAACACCAGGGCTACGTCTACACCGGCAGCTTCTTTCACAAGAACTGTTTTGCGGAAGAGTTCTTGCACAAGAGCACGTCTACACTGGCACGTGCTTTTGTGGACACTTGCGCAAGAAAGCTCTGATGGCCATTTTAACCATAGGGGCTTCTTGCACAAGAAATTCATGTTGCCTGTCTACACTGGCCTCTTCTGGAAGAGCTCTTGCACACGAGGGCTTATTCCTCATGGGGATAGGAATAACTCTTCCAGAGGAAGCCCTGTTTTACAACTCTGTACTGTAAATTTACTTGCTCAAGAAGCTGCCCTTGTAGACATAGCCCAGTATTTTTTATTTATTTATTTATGTATATAAGTTACACAAGCATCCTTTCAGATGATCAAGAACTACACAGAATCCTTGCTTCCACCATAAAATGCAGGTTGGTAAATAAGTTTAGTCTACACTGTAGCTAAATTTGTCTTCATTCAAATAAAACTTGCATAGATTTCAGTGAATTAAAATCAAGAAAGACTGGCATTTGGCCTCTTATCTAATTTATAAAAGACAGTTGGAGAACAGAACCTGAAGTTTAAAAAATTAATACTTAAGTTGCAGGTAGATCCTCTCCCCCAATTAAACAAGCTACCCCACTTAGAGCTGTAATTCATTGTCTAACGGCTTCAATTTCCCCAGCTAAAATGAAATATTAATCCTGTTGCAAATTAATTCTAATCATTCTAAGATGGAATAATAAACACCTTTTTAGTAAAGCTGTCAACTGTCTGTGCAGTGACCTATTTGAAATGAGCTTGTGGCAGCAGTCCATTTCCTAGTGGATAAGTATCTAGATCTCAAAACCCTTGCCAACTCTAGCAGGAGAGTTCATAATGAGCTAGGTATGGAATTATCCTCTAACTCACTTGGCTCCCAAACTTTATTGGTTCACCTATCACCTTGAAAATGAATTTTTGAGAAGTGGATGGAACATGCAGCTCATGTACACAAGGGAACGAACTGCTGTGATTACTCTTAACCCTAATTTGCAGTGATCAACTCTGAGATGTCAACAAGGTAACATGAGAAAAGGTGCGCTATCATTGACAGCTGTTCTCTGGACTTAGAAAGCATTTCACTGTCCAGTTCTATACAAAACTTCCACAAATACTAAATTTGCTGTACTTCAGAACTATTGTAAGGTTACATAGGAGATATGGCTACAATTTGACGTGCCAGCAACAACAAAAAGTATCTGACATTTTTGCATACATACTTCCAAAACAGACACATGATCCAAACACATATGGAAATGATGAAGGTACTGACCATCAGTCAGTCTCTTAAGATATGTGACTACTTCTTAAAGTAATTCAGAGTAAGTTGCTTCTACTCTCCTTAGTGGTTTTGATTTAAATTTCGTAACTTATATGTCTGTCTAGTAGGATAACTTTAATGGGAACAATTTTATTTATATTTAGTGGAACATTTAAACAGTTATTCTATTAAAATTTCCTTATTGCAATAAAATGTTAGTGGTCTCATTGATTTTTCTCCCTATAGTTATATAAGCATAATAAAGTTACTCTTTTCTGATATCTTTCTAATGTGATTACCATTGGTTTAACTAATTTTGAAATTGTTATTAAAAATTGTAAACTTACACAGAAAACTATGCAAGTCAACATACAGGTGATGTTACACTGAAACCCGCTCTCAGTACAGGATAGATTAGAATTTTCAACCTAATTTCTCTATTAACTAGTGTACATACTGAAATAATCTGAAAAAAATATATAAAGTAAGGATGTTAAATTGCAGTTAATTTACTAGTCAAGTTGTTGATGGAATCAAGTAATAGCATAGCACTCTAGGCAGGAATATATTTATTTACTAGTCAAGTTGTTGATGGAATCAAGTAATAGCACTCTAGGCAGGAATATATTGGGTCATCAGTGAATAATGCAACATTGTGTTTTGTGGGGGGGTTTTTTTTTTTTTGTAATTAAGGGTGCCCATTTCCACTGTTAGCATTGGGAACTGAAATTCAGACTTTTGGGTTCAACATTCTTTATCCACATGCTACATTATTTAAAGTAGCTATCAAAACTTTTGAAATAAGAAAAAATAGGGGACCATTTCTATTCAACATTTTAAAGAAAGGTGGGAGATATGGCAATCAGCATACAGAATCAGTAAAAAGAAACTCCTGTATTCTGTGCCACTATATTGAATTGACAATTGGAATGAGCCCTTAATCTCTTTGCAACATGAGTACAGGTAACCCCTGACTGACGACTAACCTACTTACAACCCCCCGCATTTTGTAGACAGTCTTTTTCTAAATGTGTATTGGGAATTTAGGCTTTCCCTGCCAGCTCCGGCTCTTGCTGCAGGCGTGCTCTGCCGCTTGGCTATTTCGATGAGGCACGTGGCCCCTGCAAGTTCTGGCTCCCAGCAAGCCGCCTAGCTTCTGCAGGTAGCCCCGCCTGCCTCTGTGCCAGCACCTCCGGGGCCCACCAGCAGGCCAGCAATGAGGCAGGTTGTCCCCCACCAGGTCAGCTTCATAGCCCCCTTAGTCAGGCTGCTCCCCCTCACCAGGCTGCATCCTCCTCTCCCTCCCTCCCCAAATTGAAAAGATGAAGGTATTTTCTGTGCTTTATTTTCATATTGAATATTTGTTGTAAATTAATAAATGTTTGTAAAAGCATATATTATTGTTTTATTTTATTTTCCTCCACTTCCATAGCCAATTTTGTCATTTTTAGGGAATGAAATGCAGTTCCGGGAATGGAACCCCCATTTTTATCATTGTGCCTATGGGAAAAAAGGGTTTGACTTCTTAGCTTGACTTACACCAGTTCTTCAGGAACCAATTAGGTCGTAAGGGTGGGGGTCACTTGTAATACAGTAATAGAATAATGCTTTACCTGCCATATGGGGCACTGTGAGGATGTATGAAGCATCTTTTGTAAAACCACATGGAAGTCAAAATTCATTTTATTGCCATGCACATTTTTATTTCAGAATTGGCATGTATGTGGTTTACTGCAGAGCTCAGTTTATGTACCTTAAAGTTTGTGAAATGAATGGAATATAATGGTGCAAGGCTGTGCCATATACTGAGTTACACTGTAGCTTTCTTATTTATAGACAAAGCACAGGACAAACCCTAGCAATGCAAATGAACTCTTGACTTCCTGTAACAGCTGGTATAATTTCACAGTCACTTCTTGTCTTTACTTAATAAACATTAGATTCTAATTCATAATGTAGCAATTGAACAAACATTGACACTAAAAAGATACAGCTCCTGATTGCGTATGCAGAGTCCATTAACCAACTGTTTGATAGGGATGTCCTTTTGTTTATGTAATGGAAAGGACTGATTTCGTAAATGGTTGATAGGGATGTCCTTTTGTTTATGTAACAGAAAGGACTGATTTCGTAAAACAATTATTTTCCCCCTGCAAAAAACTTTAGAAAAAATGTTAGCATTGGTGGGAAGGGGGGGAATATTCTGCACTACTGTCATGTTTCAGAGTTAGATGATCAAACTACTTCACAAAAGATGATAAACACCATTATCCCTATTTTACAAGATGAGGAAAAAAAGGCACCCGGGGCAAATCCTTAAAGATATTACCCATTGCTCCACTCACCATTGCAATGCCTAAATCCTAGGCAACCTGCCACTCAGTGGAATTTTCAGCCCTTGCTCCACTCACCATTGCAATGCCTAAATCCTGCCACTCAGTGGAATTTTCAGCCTCAAGCCAGGAACCCTGGCTCCAAACATTAAACAGGGAGAGCTGGGCATCCACAGAAGGTATTTTTCAGGAGCCATCCAGCTGAGTAGGGATCAGCTGAAGTTAGAAGTCAAATGTTGAAGAGAGGGGTTTAGGCATCTACATGACTGACACACAAGAGATAGACACCTCTGACTGAGGTCTTCAGCTGTGGAAACGCCTAAAATAAGACAACTAAGCATCTGAAATGACTTACTTACAGCTCAATGCCCTAGCAGCCACAACTATTTCACTCTCTTTTGCTCACATTCAATACTTCTCTCAAACCTGCCCTATGCTTAGAGCCCTGCAAATCCGTGGATATCCACTTTATACCTGTGGGTATATGCATCCATGGATGTGGATATCCA